CCCCCCCCCTGAGCTGGTTGGTCAAGAGCTTGACAAAATATATTTACATGTTTAGTAAACTGGATCGGCCCTTGCTTGACACAGTTGTTTTACGATAAATTAACTTCTACATTGATCGGTTTACTTTACATATATGTAAAGTTAATTTACAAGCATTAAATATACATGACATGTAAAATAGCATATTACTTACGTTTCAAAACTCAACATCTGTCCATTTGTTGACAAATATCTACACGTGATAAATTTAAAGGGAGATAACACTACAATTTCAACCAGAATCACTTTCATAACCGTTAAAATCAATTAAACAATCTTTGACCGAGAAATATTTGAAGCGACATTTTAGTGGCGTTTGACTTGTAGAATTCGTAAACTCGAAGTTTGACGACTCGTATTCCGTATGGAAAGTTACGCGGACGATCATTAAAATGGCTAAGGGCCCGTTACAGTTGTCTGTGTACAGATAAGCGGAATAATTCGACGATTAGGGAAATTCACCTGTACACGTGACCTAAAAGTGGAACACTAGCGCCACGCCTTAAAACTGTACCGTCATTCTTGTCCGCACTTCGTTATCGGAACGATTGATATTCGATTACAGTTTTAATTGACTACTGTTAGGTTTGTATATTCTGATTGCACTTATGCTGGTTTACTTAAGTTTCCATTTATTTTATCACTAGCTTTCGCCCGCGACTCCGTCCGCGCGGAATAAAACAAAACAAAATTGTGTTTTTTTTTTCAAACTATCCTCTACATCCATGGCACATTTCATCGAAATCCGTTCACACGTTTAGATAACAAACTCATACAAACATCCATCTATCTAAACATTCGCATTTATAATATAAGTAGGATTACCTAGTGATCTATTATTGTTGGTGGTAAGTCGGAAACGCATTTCATGAAGTTATCAAACTAAATACACTAAGGAGTGGTTAAACCTAGTTGGGAAACGGGTCATTAGAGACTTAATCGGTATTCTAAGAAACTGGACCTATCACTTCAACGGGAAGAAAGTCTATAAATAAACTAAAAGTCTGGACAACAAGCAGAATTAGCCTTTTGAAGTTTTGTCGTTTTTTAAAGACTGGTAGTCGTGGGTCAACGAACCACTTATCAAGTCTTCTTTCTTAATAGCTGCTTTTTTGCACATTGATGTAATAGGAGGACACCTTTTTTTTATAAGAGGAGGGGGCAAACCTGCGGCGGGAACAAGGAGGTGGTCAACGACGCCCATGGACATCCGCAACACCAGAGGAACTACAGATGCGTTGCCGACCTTTGGGGATATTGTAGGCTCGCGTCTTGAAGGACCCTAAGTCGTAATGTTTTGGAATTACCGCTGAGGAGACCATCCATCTAATAGGCGATTACTCTTGCCCTGGTGTACTTTTAAGTTACAATAGCTTGTTAATTTATATGAGTTTTTTCAATTTAAAAATACTATCACTAATTAAGCATTGGATATTTTTTTAACGACTTCCATACGTTTACAAGAATGATGTAATTGTATCCAATCGGTACTAACATATGGTAACATTCTGAAATAGAAGATCTCACAAACATAAATAAACCACTTAATGATGTGTCATAAAATTAATGAATATGACGTCATGTCTATGCATAATTAATAACCGTGGGCTTAAAATGCCATCTATCTACAGATATAATAATGAAAAATGTAGTCAAAGTTACTTAGGTAATGCAGCATTTTAATGGTTAAAGAATTTTTGATTCGGGTCAGTAGTGTTTGAGTTTATTTGCCACAGACATACATAAATAAAAATCTTTATCAGACATCTTACTAACTTAACTTACTGTAATATTATGAATAAAAAAGTTTTATGGTTGGATAGATCGATGTTTGTTAGAGTTTGCAGCCTAAACAATTCAACGGATCTTGAAGAAATTTGGAATAGATGTAAAGCGCAGAACAACACAAAACTTTTTTCTTTTAATTTCACATGGAAGAATCACGGTCTACAGCAAGATTGTAACATTAGTGTAAATATTAAAATGGGAATTATAGATTTTTTTAAATCAACATTTACAGGCTCTTGGTCCGTACTCTTTTTTGCAGTTTATATTTTTTTCTTTTTTTTTTTGTTGCGTAATCCTTGTTGCATTAATGAGTTTCTTTTTTTTAATGATGTATTAAAAAAATATAGAAAACTAAAGGCATTCTATCACTGACTGATATTGCTATCACTGACTATGGTAATTTTATTCATATTTTCTATAATTATAGTTCTTTTAACTGTTTAGACTTCATACATACAAGTGCCAAATCAATCGAAATAGTAGAAACAAGTCGAGTTGGCAAAAGGTCAAACGGACCCGATAAGGAATTACGTACTTTGTAAGACTAGGCTAAGCTGTTTGTTTTAAGCCCTACATATGCAATACTAAATAACTAGAAGTTTCGACCGTTTCTACTGTCTAAACACGTTAGAAAACATATTGCTGTCCCTTTCAGTATATTTTGTAAAACAGAGATGTCTATATTATACAAATGTTTCTTTTACACGGTTATGATTTTAAGTCTTAAGGAAGTCCAGATGTTTTAATTAATTACTTAATTTAAACTTAAGTGTCTATGTTATGAACACATTTTATATGTTAACAAATATGTGCATACATATGCATGCATAGTCCTTTATCTTCAAATGCTTATGTATTGCGTTAAAGGCATTTTCGACGAAGTATTTTGCCATAGGTATGTTTTGTGTTTCCTAACGTATTTTCTAAACAAGTCTAATACGAAATATTGTGATACGAAGACTCTATAAAAACGTGTTACCTTTTTATTTAAAAACTAGCCTCCGTCCGTTGTCATCGGAATTAAATTATAAAAACTTTCTTTTATTTACATTTGTGTAATTTCCAATTGCAAATATCAAAATTCAAATACACAAATGATATCGAATTGACATTTGATAACAATTACCGTTACCATGGCAACCTTGTAGTTTTTCTCTCTTTCTCGCATGTCAATTTTCAAACTATTCCCTAATATAAGTTTAATGGCATGAAAATAGCATCTAAAGCGTGACGTAATGTAGAAAAGGAATTATTCTGGCATCCTACATAACTAAAAAGTGTGTGTATACGTTTTATTATATTAGTATAGATTTTTTTAAATTAAACCTTATTTTGTTTGGTGTTTAAATTCATGACTCAATCTTAGCTAGAATTATGGTATTTCGTTTGATCTTTCGTCAGCTTTATTGGCATAGTTTTCCTTATCAATGGCAATATTTGATTTATCCGTACGTCTAAACATAGATCGATTATACCTTTGATGTCGATCCAGTTTTGTATTGAATTTATTTATATTAGACACCTTGCCATAATAATCGAAAATGGTTTGTAGACCTTTTTTGTTGAACACTGGTGTAACATTCGTTTTTTTTTTTCATAAACATGTAGGTTTTATGCGTTTTTGTACTGTGCATTTTTTGCATTACGTCAATTATTAATATAAATGCGAAAATGCGAAAGTGTTATAATTTTTGTAATTGTTATAATAATTAAAAAAGTTTAGATGGATGGATTAAAGTTCGTTAGAGTTTGTTGCCTAACCGGCTGATGGTATCTCGATGAAATTTAGCATAGATTTAGAGGACGGCCTGGAAGAACAAAAATGTTTTTTTATTCTACGCGAACGAAGTCGCGGGCGAAAGCTTGTTTCCTTATATTTTAGACCTCCGTTTATATAGTAAACATTTTAATTTAGTTGTTTAGTTTAAATTGTCTTTATAAGTTGATTGACTTTGGGGTCCATTTCTCGCTTGGGGACGATAGCAATTTGTTAATTTATGGACCTCGGGGAGCCGATGAACTCAGAAATCGCGGTACGGCGCGTTCCGGTTCCATTTTCGCGTTATTTAAGACAAGTTGCCCTCTAAAGTGTAACTTAAGACAGGTTGCCCTCTAGTAACTTAACATTGAAGTGTGCCGTTGACGTTTCTTTTTATTGCATAAGACAATTTGAACTTAAGTTAAAGACTGACAAGGATAAGTGTAACTAAATTATGATTGCTCACTAGCGCCCTCCTTTTATGACATAGGAAATGTCCATGTAGGTTTTATATATTTTCTGACACAAACCGATAGCTGCACCTCTCACGGAGCTAGATTATTTGACCGTGTTTTACAGACTTCACCTAACGTAGACTAACACTGACGTAGCAGTCCTATTTTGTCAATTAAAATGAAGTGGTTGACAATGTAAAATAAAAAAAAAAATTACGACAGTGAAAGTCTACTGTTACACACGTGTATTAAGGTGTATTAAAAATAATATAAGAATTATAAAATAACTAGCTTTTGCCCTCGACTCCGTCCGTGTGGACTTAAAATAATCAAAAGTGAGTAGCCTATGTGTTCTTCCAGTATCGTCTACTATCTATACCAAATTTCATTAAAATCCGTTGAGCCGTTTAGGCAACAAACTCTAACAAACATCCATCCATCTAAACTTTCGTATTTATAATATAATATTAAGTATGATTGAAGATATGTAAGTATTAAAAACTATGTATAAATTAAGCAACCAATTTGTTAACAAAAAAGATCTATATTTTTTGTAGTTTATTTGAGTAACATGAAATACATGTGTGAAATATTTCGAATTACAATAGTAATAATAATTATTAATAACGTTAATGAAAATATAAAACGACCGCAATAACTTGTTAAACAGAGGAAATGGGACGTCACCGCATCGATTTGCACTTAACCTATTTAGAATTTCTAAGCTGTAATCCCTACGAGAAAAATGCCTAAGCTGACTAACGACTTATAAACGTAGATGCATCTAGAACTAATACCCTTATGGCTGGTTTCCCATCTACATTTAACCATTCGCTAGTTTTTGGTTCTGTTACGTCTTAAAATAAGTTTCCGAAGTACGTAACTTGAACTACGAAACTAATCTAACCTAACACTAATGGATAAAACAAATGAATTTTAGGAACCCATCATAAATGTTATAGAAAGATATATATATCACTAGATTTTGCCTGCGACTCCGTCCGCGTGGAATTAAGAAAAGCTATAGTAGCCAATGTGTTCTTGTAGACCATCGTCTACATCTATGCCAAATTTCAACGTGATGCGTGCAGCAGTTTAGGCAACAAACTCTAACAAACATCCATCCATCTAAGCTTTCGCATTTATAATCTAGTAAGGGTTCTATGAGCACAATTTTATATCTCCATTATACCTAAGTTATATTAGCTAGAAATGGTCATTTATCAATGTTTTTCACTGTAAAGAGTCCTTCAAGATTTTTCCTTAAAACTTTTTTCGAGGTGTTCCTAAAGACCTTGGTAACCGTTAATTAAAACTGTAAATGCATTTGTTTCTATTGTAAAATCTATTTGAACTCGATCGAGAGTCGATGCGTTAAATATAGTGTCAGCGAATCGTTTTATTGCAATTGGATTACGTAAGGGCCGATCAGATCGGGACAGGTCGGGCGGCGCGGGATTCGTGACGTCACCAGTTGTGTTTATTTTTAACCTTCGTAAATAGTACACATGACCGGTGTAATCGTCGCCCGAGATAACTTGTGTCATTTGCAACTAGAGATTTGCAATGATTTCTGATTGAGCAATCTTTGGTTTTGATGTCTGCAGGGCTTAAGCACTCAACTTGTAATCTACAGGTCTTGGGTTCCCATTATACCAATTTGTTTTTAGATTTTCATGTGTACAAAATTTACTAGACGGTCTCACGGTGAAGGAAAACATCGTTTTGCTACCTGCAAATCAGCGAGGATTTTAAAAGGTGTGTGTAGTAAACCTGTCGCCAGCATGGTTGACTATGGCCTAGTCATCCCTAATTTAGGATAGGTTTCGAGTTCCTCAAAAGGAAAGTATAATGACCTGAAAATAATGAGTAAAAATTGTAGACTGCGTCACGTTTTGCTAAATATCGTTACACGACAGAGACGAAAATATATAAATGTAGGTTAGAAAGAAAGAGATGGCAAGTGTAGTGAAGAAATTTACATGAATTTCGATATAAATTAATTAATTTCTTTACTTATCAGAAATATTGACAATGGTTCACGATTTGTGTCATATACTTATTACGCATGATAGGGACAATAAACCAATTAAACTATGAGATAAAAATTTGTTAGATTTATCACGGTTTTTAATATGTGTATCAACGCATACCCCAATCTTTATCGTGTTATGAAGGACGATTTGTGTTGATAAGTTATCGTGTTTGGTCGTTGGAAGTAAGGTCGATAGTCAACTGTTTCGCTTGTCTAATTTTATCTAACCTTATTATTGAGATTTTTATGATTTGATATTTGACTTTGGAATACAAACTTTTGAATGCATCTTTGCCCGTGTGAATAAAAAAAACTTTGTGTTCTTTGAGATTATCATCTACATCTGTGTCAAATTTCATCGAGATCCGTTAAGTCGTTTGTCCATCCAATTCGCATGTATCATATTAGTATGATAGTATGACTTTTGCTTCACGTTTGAATACGGAATTGACAGACTCTAATAAAATGCTTCATCAAAATTACGTATTTAGAAAGGAATATAGAATGTACTGGAGAAATGGTCATTTATTCTTCAATATGTGTTATGGTCTCTTTCCCACATTAGGGTTTTTATCTAAAATATTTACCCTCTAAGTTTAATGGCGTGAAAATATATAACATAAAGCATGACGTAAGTGTAGGGCTTTTTATTAAAAAAAGAATTACTCAAAAATATGCTGTAATTGCTGACATCTTTGGCAACAAAGAGGTGTGTGTTTACGCTTTATTAGAAAAGTATAGATTAGTTTAAAACTAGAGGTTTCCTTGTCTAAATATAATTGTGACATATATTTGTCTATTCGAGAGTGTCATGTGTTAGTCGTAGTGTAATGAACGTAATTGATACGAGTACTAAGTTATTAATTAACGCCGCTGTATGTCGCTGTTGTTCTAATTGCCACTTTACCACGACTGTTAAATACGAAATCGAACTATCGACGTTATTTAGATACTATCTTTCGCCCACGATTCCGTTCTTGTGGAAATAAATAAAACAAAAGAAAGTAGCCTATCTATTCTTCCAGACTATCCTCTACATCTGTGCCAAATTTCGTCGAGATCCGTTCAGCCGTTTAGGCTACAAACTCTAACAAACATCCATCCAAACTTTCGTATTTATAACATTAGTAAAAAAAACTTCAAATGCTTGTAAATGTAGAACAGATTAATTAAGTGGTCTAATTTTGGTACTAATCTTCGGATTTGAAAATTTCCACCAAATTCAGCACCTCTAATTAGGCGGCTCCAGACGGTGGTTTAGTGGGGGGCAGTACCATGATCAGGAGGGGAGTTGCCCTTTGCGACGCACATGCCTTTATTTATGTTGTTAGATTTTTTAACCGGAAATTAAATCTTATGAATGAGGTTACTGTTTATATACGTTTTTGTCGGATAGAGTAGTTTTATTCACATTACGCATTACAGCATTAGTAAGAAATTATTCCCTATTTTACGTATAAGAATTTTTTTTTGGATTTTATAATAAAACTAGCTGTTCTCTAGCGGCTTCATCCGCATGAAATTGTGAAAATTTTTATTTTACTGTTTACATTTGTCAAATTATCAATAGCAAATGTCAAAATGACATGACATGATGACAAAGTATGGCAACCTTGCTTCCTTGATGTTGGCAGCAACTTATGGTTTCTTTCCCACATTAGGGTTTTTATCCAAAATATTTACCCCCTAAGTTTAATGGCGTGAAAATATATGTATATCCTAAAGCGTGACGCAAGTGTAAGGCTTTTTATTAAAAACGAGTTATTAATAAA